AAAAGACGGTTCTAAACTTGAGAATGTGTTGAGGGAATAGGGGGAAAGGCTCCTCGGGGACCCAGCAGAGGAACTCCTGGGAGTCCCGATGGAATTTTTTGGTGCAGACGGTTCCATATGGAAGCACGCGTCGTTCATTACTGTATGCCCCTGTATGACAAGTATTAAATGTTGTTTTCTTTAGTTGATCCCAAGGTCACCGAATTTAACAATGATGGCCAAGAGCCAGAAAACAAAGAGACAAAAAGAAATACCATCCAATAAGAATAGTCCGTGCTTTTAAACTATGTGATAAATTGCTTATCTGTAACTGAATGCTTTGTATTGACCATTAAATAAATAACATATCTTTTAAGTTAGAAATCGTCATGACAGGTTTAGTTAAATTCTGATCATTTTTTCTGCACCTAAACGCGGTATGAAATTAATCAAACCTGGGTAAAATTTTTAAAACGACATGAAGGAAATTCAAAGCAAACAATAATTAAAAAACCGTGCTTGTCACTGATGATAGAAGACTCGAGAGTGTTCTTGAAATAGCAGACTTCATCAAGATTTCTTTCAATCCAGGTGAAAGGAACAATCTAGTTTACGAGGTAAGCGCTGAATTATAAACATGCGTTGTGCCATGCTCGTAGCTCCAAGCAAGCTTTTGTTGTGAGCTATGTAGTGCCGAGTGCTTTTGACCTTCGGAAAATCGACGTGAAAAGTTTTCTTTATTTTTTCTTTTTCTATACCATGGTGGTCTGACGACTCGTAAAGAATTTTTTTCGCGATAAACCTTCAGCTCAACGCTTCTTTTCTTAGTTGTGGGTCAATGTCAGAGGGAAATGTTGTACGCTCTCATAATTACGCAGATATTGACAATACACATGCCTGCTTCCGAGTAACGCTCATATGACTGTACATCTGTTTTGAAGTTGCGTCCTAAGCCGTAACGCTTTGACTGTCAACTCGATGCCTTTAACCTTTGACTAGCTGGCAAACTTACATCTTTGTGTTCATGATCGTCCGCTAGAAGCAAGTCGCTTAAGGTAAATCTTGCCTCATAAGGTACTGCTGGTGCAGATGTGCCGGTTTGAGGGTTTCGATTCTCTAACTGAACCTCACTAAGTTCCATTCGACTGAAATTTTCGAACACTTTTGAGGGACTTCGGCGCAATTAAGTCAAAAGTAACATACTTTCACTTAATCTACCTAAAGGGGAGGTTCTGCTTCGAGCTTGCTTTATATATCTTATTATGGGGAAAGATAATTAAGTGAGGCCGAAATTGCTTTGAGCATATTTCATTACTTCTGATCTACAGCATTCTTTTTTGAACTCGCCTTTGTTTTACTTTATCTACTAGTAGGGGAGTTCCCTTGAAGCAGAGTTTGCTTGGAGCCGGCCGGCAAGACGTCTCTGTTACAAAGTAAGTCAGTTACAGTTGTGAGTCGTTTTGTCGCGCTTTTAGTTTTGTATGGTGTTTAGAAAGCTCAGGTTGGCAGGCCTTTATTGCATTAAGGAACTCATACAAAAGCTTTCAAAGATGTTCATATTCGTCATGCGAACTCAACTAACACATATATAGAAGGTTTTTAAGAACACTAAGGATTTCATGTGCCGTTCTGACCTTTTTAAGGTGGCTGCGATCGAGTACTTGTGAGATTTGTTGTCCCCTTTTAAAAAGCGAAAACAAGGCAAGCAAGTATCACTTGACTTTTGAACGAAGACAGAAATTGCTTCCATTTTCTTTGAGTACTTTCTAAATATTGTGTACTAACTTCTTTCTACATGCAACGAGAATTAAAGTTGAGTACTGAGAAGGTTCCCCTGATCGAAATCTAAAATTTTATAAGGGTAATAGATTATCATATTGGAGTGATTGGTTTCCACATACATTAACAAACAGGCAGATGACGCATTGGCTGTTGAGAATGTCTTGATTTACCAACAAATCCTCAGCAGCCATTATGAAGCCTTTCAAAATCTACGTGGCAGCTAGTAGCACCGCTTGAGAAGCGAGAGTTTGTTGTGACAATCTTGCGGCATTAACAATATTTTTTTTCTTTTTATTGATATCTTATAATGCTGCATAAGTGAAGCAGTAAGCCGATACGTGCTAGGACAAAAGAAGAGGCTAAATTAATATTCCCAGGCCTCTTATTTAAAAAAAAAAAAAAAGGAACAAAACAATTTCGTATTTGTGTTCGACTCTTGCCTGTGTTTTTCGTCCACATTGTATTCATCTGATCAATCTTTTGGAGACTTAATTTGATAACAAATAAAATGTATGTATGTATGTATGTAGACTTAAATTAGACGACTCTCTTCCTTCATTAAAGTAAATCTATTTTAGTGTGTGTCACTACGCCGCGCCGGCGCCTAACTAAGCTAAACAACCACCGTGAACTTCCTAGCATGCGAGCACCATCGTAACATTATTCCACGTCTGTGGAATGTGAACTTTTCTGACTCAAGTTACCATTAAGGTGTCTAGTTCAGTCGTTGACGTAAAAACCAGTTTCCGGCGCTGTTCTAGTCTCGCTCAAACGTCTAGAGCTCACATCATGCTGTCGTCAACTTATACCGCGTCTATTCTGACATCTATAGGTTAGTTTGTCTTTGCCTAGTGCAACTTTCTCCCAGACTTTCACGGTCAATTCATTTCGTGACGCATCTGCTTGGACCGCGTGACCAAAAAAGTATTGACCGCGTTGAAATATCGAAACTTAGGAGCTGGGAAAAGTTTTTTACTAC